TTTATTTTTGAGAGAGAGAGAGAGAGCGCGCGCACAAGTAGGGAAGGGGCAGAGAGAGAGAGGGGGAGACACAGAATCTGAAGCAGGCTCCAGGCTCCAAGCTGTCAGCTCAGAGTCCAATGTGGGGCCCAAACTCACAAATCATAAGATCATGACCTGAGCTGGAGTTGGATGCTTAACTGACTGAGCCACCCAGGCGCCCCTAGTTGTTTTCTTGATTCATATTCCGAGTAGTGCTTGAATTACTTTTGTCTAATAAGTAGGCATTTTTATGGAAATAATAAAATCATTACACTTAAAAAGAAGTGAGAAGGGGGGTGGGTGACGGAGAAGTGAGCTCTACAGTTTCCTCTGTGTTCCTGGAAGAACAGTGTCTCCACTGTGAACGTCCCTCCTCATTAATCTTGTACCTTTCTTGTGGTGAGGGTTGGAGACGAAGTGTGTGGGGAGCCCAGCACAGTGCTCCGTGTGGAATTGCTCTCTTCCCTGCCATGCAGACAACCACAGGTACTGTGAAGCCTTCTTTTTGCAGCTTCTGGTGAAGAACATCCAGCTGGAGGATGGCAGGATGATCCCAGCCTCACGCTTCTTCAGCGGAGCAGACAGCAGTGTCCTTGAGCTGACAGAGGCAGAACTGGTCATGGCAGAGACTGTGCAGGTAAAAGCCCCCTTCAGGGATTCTGTCTGGTTTTGCAGGTTGTGCACTGCATCTGTGTTTTTTGACTCACACTCCCTGGAGTTGGATGTGCACACCCTCTGTAGATGTATGTGCTGACCCTGGGCACCGTGTTGGTTCTATCATGTCTTGGGACTTTCTGATGCCCCCTTGCTCTTTTCCTCTGTCACTGGGACACTGGGATTTGGCCAACTGGGTCTGACTCTTCTAGGGACTCACTGTCAAGAGTGGACAGATGAAGAAGCCCCTGGAATAGGTGGAAAAGGTTGGTGCCAAATCCATGGCCCTTTGATGAGAATGTGTGCAGTGTAACCTTCCAGAAAAGCTCCCTGAGAGGGAGCCTCTTGCACTGTGACCAGCCCGGGTGTCATAGTCAGGCAGACCTGGACTCCAGTACAGCAGTCATGGATGATGCAGGAGAGCACTTCACTCTCTGAGACTCAGTCCCTTCCACTGCAAGCCCAGTCAGTGGTCACCTCCCAGACTTGTTCCTGGTCCTTCCTGCTCCCTCTGCCCACTTCCTTCTCCCTGGAGGGCATAGTATGGATGGTATTTAACCTTTATGAATGAAGGCTGTGGATGAATTTTCGAGCATTCACTTGTTCAACCATGTAATCAATGACTTAAGAAATACATATGAGCTCCTATCAAATGCTGAGTGCTAAGCCAGCACTTCTCATGAAGTGTCCCTTTCCATGGGGAAAACAGCCAATGAACAGCCCAACAAATGAACAGATAATTTCAGGCCAAGAGTGAAATAACAGGTTGATGGGAACAAGGTCCTTGGAGGCTGGGGGACAACTTTAGAAGGAATAACCAGGGCAGGCTTCCTTGGGCAGGAGAAGGGGAGGGTTTGACCTGAGACCTGAGTGGAGAGAATTCTGGGGGAAGGAGGGCTGGATGAGAGGACATGGGCCAGTCAGCAGCCACAGTGGTGACTGTGGGTGTTGATGACAAGTGCTAAAGACAGTACCCAGCAGGGAAGGGACACGAGAAGCTTACTCTGCTCCAGAGGGCACCAAGCACTTCCTCAGTAGAAAGCTGAACTTTCTGAATGTCTGTAAAGAGAGACAGACAGAGAGAGAGAGAGAGAGAGAGAGAGAGAGAGAGAGAGAAGCCTGTTCATTCAAAAATATTTTGGAGGAGCTGCTCTGGCCCCAGCCCTGTACTTGCCCTGGAGTTACAGGGCCAGCCGGACAAACTAGCCTTCTGGGGCTTACAGCCGAGTGGCCCTTGGGGTGAGGTAAGGTTGTGTGTGTGTAGAGCTAGGCCTGAGTCAAAAGCTGTTGTGACTGTGTCCTTCATCTGTGCACTTGAATAAACTGCATATCCATGGGTGTTGTGAGTGGTAGAGGAGAGAACACACATGGAAACGGGTAGTTTAACAGCACCTATAAGGACCTCAGTAAACATGGGCAGGGAGCCTAAGGGTCATCAAAAGAAGCACGTGCTTGCAGAGTGTGTACACTGTGCAGCAGTGTTCCAATCACTTCAGGAACAGTAGTATGTTTAATTACTGTAACAACTATGAAGTAGGTGTTTCTATTACTTTCAGCTCCCAGCAGAGGAGCCTGAGGCCCAAGGTGGGGTCACAAGAGATGAGCGCAGGCCTAGGCATGGAGCCCAGCTGGTGGGCCTGAATTCCTGGCCTCCACCACTATCATGCTATGCCGCATGGCCTCTTGGTCATCCTTGGCATCATTATTATTACACCTGTTGGTCCTAGCTGGACTGGCTCTTTCAGAATGCATGGTCTGGAGGTGACTGGGGTGGAGCAGAAATGGCTGGGGAGGAGAGGCCAGTGTGGGCCTCTGGTGTTGGTGGAGAGAGCCTAGCAACGGAACAAAATTTGCATTGTTGTGGTCTTTCTGTACATCAGGTACTCTGCCTGCCTCGTGTGAGGAATCCCCCACAGCCATTATCAGATCCTTTCACAGATGAGGAAACAGAGGCACTGAGAGACTCTCTGCATCTCCATGGCTTGTCAGGAGCCAAGCTAGGGTGTGAACAGGCCATGTGGGTTTAGGGTCCACTGCCTTTCAGAGGTTCCACACACATCTGATGAGGGCTGGTGCATCCCATAGGCATCATGCTGGTGTCCACATACCAGCAGGTGACCTGTGGCCCCAGGCCACCTGAGTCTGAAGAGCAGGCAGAGCAGTCAGTGAAGGGTTCAGGGAAGAGGGGCCATGGCAGTTGGTCCTGGAGGATGCTTAGGATTTAAACATGAGCTGGAGGTCCAGAGAAGGACCTCACTGGTAGGCAAGGGCCCAGGCAGAGGTGTGGAGGACAGGCAGTAGTCAAGTGGGGACAGGGAATGGCTTAGCATGGCTGCTGATGGTCACAATGAGGATGGGAAGAGCAAAACCATGACACCTTTCAAAGAACAAAAGAAGGAACCAGGGAGAGGTTGGGCCAGGTCCTAATTGGGCCTGACCACTTCCGTCTGGCCCAGTGACCAGCCAAACACTGTCTGAAGCTCGGGCAGAGTGTGAGGCATCTTGATGCTCCTGTCCTCATAGGCCTGACTGGGAGCTCACCCACAGAACAATTGTCCCATCCTGATCCACTGGACGGCCTTCTTAGAATTCTGGATGGTGTTGCTCATTCACACTGGCCTTTCCACACTCACCCACAAGGCTGGCTGGTGGGCACTGCTGACTTTTGCAGGCTGTGGGACAGATGGGCACAGAACCAGCTAGCCTGTGTGTGAGAAAAAGACCCAGGCCTCCTGAACCCCATCAAAGTACCTTGTTTTCACCCTCAGAACTCCCACCCACTTTTCTTTCCTTTCTACACTGCAACACACCCAAACACCAGGATCACTCTGGGAACCTCACCCGGATGAGAGCACCAAGGTGAGGCTGGGTGTGAAGGGGGCTGGGGAGCAGCTGGTGCACAGCCAAGCCCTGAGCTCTGTATGTATACTCTTCCTGCTGCACTGAAATGGTGTAGGGATCCCAAAGGAGCTGAGGACAGCTGAGCTCCCTGGGCTCCTACTTCCCCAAGGACACAGTCACTCCAGGAGCCTGGGAGCAGCAGCACCATGGAGTGGACAGAGCCCAGTCTGGCAGCAGGTGGGACAAGCCCACAGCAGGGGCTGCTCTCACCCAGAAGACACATGCCCCTGGTTCCCCAGGGAGCCCTGTTCTCACCATGCCTGTTTTTCAGAGTGCCTGGAAACGGATTCTCCCCAGTGTCCTTGAGGTGGAAGACTCCACTGATTTCTTCAAGTCAGGGGCTGCATCAGTGGATGTTGTGAGGTAAGGCTGGGATTGGAGAGGTCTGGCTCTGGGTGTCAATGGCCGTGTCACAAGCAATGCCAAGACTCAGTAGCAGGAAACAACCATCATTTCTTATGCTTTGGATCATTCAGGTCAGGGATTCATAAAAGACCTGCATGTGCAGGCCTCAGGGGATCATCTTGAATGGCAGTGGGTGAGTGGGCTGGTAGCAGCTGGAAGAGACAGGCAGGGATATCTTCCTCCAAGCTAGTCTCTCTCTGTCATGCCTGGTGCATGGGCCTGGAGGGCTGGTGGCTGCTGAGGTGTTACTGCCAACCAGGTACCTATGTGTTGAGGCCCCAAAGTGGCTGCTTTGGGATTTGGACTTGTAAATGGTGGCTTGTGGCTCTGAGAGTGCTGATGCCAGGAAACAAGGTAGATGTGGACCCAGCCTGGGGGACACATGACATCAATGCCACTGACCTGATTGTTTTCAGCAGTCACAGGCCTGACCAGATTTGAGGGCAAGGGCTGGGCACTGAGACCCAGGCCTCAGTGGGAGGAGGATCAAAGACTGTGTGACTCTGTTTTAAAACTGCTACAAGCCCCAACCCCCTCCAGTGAAAGCCAAGGTGTGTAGGGAAAGAAAATGGGCAGCTAGAGATCACCACAGAGTAGGTTACCCATTCTTCAACCTCATATGTATTGTCCTGCTTTCCATTTAACAGCAGTAAGTTCTAATTTGTATAAAGGGACGAATGTGGATATGGTAGAACATCTTTGTTTGCAAGCAACAGTAACTTAGTTCAGTCTGGTTTAAACAAAAAAGAACAACCAAGTCAAATGTTCCATGGTAGCTTTCTTTAGGCAGGGCTGGTTACTCCAAACACTCAAATTACATCGTTAACATTGTCATTGTCTGTTGCTTCATTTCGGGGGAGGATTTCTCCTCATAGTGACACATTGCCTGCACAGTAGTTCTGTTCTAATTTCTTGTGTTATCAGCATTCCCAGTGAAAAGGTGGTTGTTCTCATGGCAGTCTCCACATAAGTCCTAGACTTGAATTTGATAGGAGCTGGTGGAGTCATGTGCCCCAATAAGAACCAATCGCTGGCCAGGAGCAGGCATGCTCTGATTGGCCAAAGCTGGGTCATGTGCCTACCTCCAGCATCAAGGGTTGAAAGGACTACATTCAACCCACATCTCTGGAAAGGGAGGAGAAAGTTGTTTCCTTGGAAAGTGTCAGTGCTATTGGTAGAGGCAGGAGAAGTGGGTGCTGTGAAGGCAGAAGCAGAGATGTATACCACATGTGGGGAGAGGATTCTTGTACTTGAAGAAGGTGCAAAGGAAACTCTGTGGAGCTCACTCAAGTAGAGAAAAATTCACATGGGAAATTAAGCAAAGCTGTGATATTGATAAGGTGTGCAGGAGAATGTCAGAGAAACACTCAACAGCCCTTTGCATTTTGGTTCCCTCGGTAGGGCTGTAGAGTGAGCAGTGCTGATCAGAGGAGGCACTGATAAGGAAAGGGACCCAGGATGAAAAAGGATGTGTGAACTCTAGTCCCCCTGAACACAAGGGAAGACTTACATGTTTCCAAGACCTTTGGAAAAAAACAGGGAGGAGACTAACCTCTGCACTCTGGGGTGAGCCAAGAATGCAGCTGCTGTCTGACCCAATTGAAAAGTCCACCCAAGGCTGAATTGAGTAATGCCCAGTCATCCTGACAACAGGCCTCTCCTTTATTTTAAAATTGTTTTTAAAAAACATCATGTAAATAGTATTTGAGAAGGAGTTGCATGCCATCCACCTAGGGAAGGTTTTGGGGAGGGTTTGATTCAGAAGAGCAACTATGAGATAATGAGAATTAGGGGTACATATTTTACCTGTTAATTTTTGCAGTGTATCAAAGCTTCCCAAAACATAGTGGCTTAAAACACCACTACTTTTTAGGGTCGTGGTTCTGTGGGTCAACAGTTTGGGCTGGGCTCAGTTGATTTGGGCCAGACTGATGTCGGCTGGACTCACGTATTTTCAGTCAGTTACCAGGTCAGCTGGAGGGCTGGCTGGTCCAGGATGGCCAGTGCCATCAGAGGTCCAGTGCAGGTTTGTTCATATGGTCATGGTAGGGGCCTAGGAAGCAGAAGGTTCAAGTGAGCACATCATATCCACTACATGTATCAGCCAAATCAAGTCATGGAGTTGACCCTATTAAGGAAATGGACACCATCTCCCAATGGCAGGTGCTGCAGTCACATCTCAAGGCTGGGACTACAGAAGGGGGGTGGGGAGTCTTGTGGACAGTTTTTCAACCTACCACACATATAAAAGCTGAATTGAGCCTCTGTGCTTGGAAACCTTGGGCACTACAGGTGTCTTATACCTCACTCTGACTTGTGTGGGTGGTGAGTATGAATTATAAAATCAATGGTTTTTATTATGCTCAGAAGAAGAATCAGACATCTGAGAAAATGATGTCCTGAGGACAACCCAGGGCTGTCTAGAGCTTCTGAGCTGAGGTTGATGGAGGATGAAGATAAAGCTGACTTTTTGTTTTGAGAATACTTCAGACCATATATCCTTTTGTTTTTATTATGATAAAAAACATATGAATTCTACATTCTTAACAAATTAAAAAAATTTTTTAAATGCTTATTTATATTTGAAAGAGATTGAGACAGAGACAGAGCTTGGTCAGGGGAGGGGAAGAGAGACAGACACAGAATCCAAATCAGGCTCCAGACTGTGAGCTGTCAGCACAGACCCGATGTGGGGCTCAAACTCACCAGCAGTGAGTTCATGACCTGAACCAAATTCGGACGCTTAACGGACTGAGCCACCTAGGCACCCCACAATTTTTTTTTTGATAAGAGCTGAGGGAGGAGACAGACTGATAATCAGCCAAAGAGTCGTTTTTTTTTAAATATGAAATTTATTGTCACATTGGTTTCCATACAACACCCAGTGCTCATCCCAAAAGGTGCCCTCCTCAGTGCTCATCACCACTTTCACCTCCTTTCCACCCCCGAAAACCCTCAGTTTATTCTAAGTTCTTAAGAGTCTCTGATGGTTTGCCTCCTTCCCTCTCTATAACTTTTTCCCCTTCCCCTCCCCCATGGTCTTCTGTTAAGTTTCTCAGGATCCACATAGGAGTGAAAACATATGGTATCTTTCTCTGTATGACTTACTTC